GGTATTTTCCAAGATTGACTTGAGATCATGATACTAACAGCTCAAGATTAGAGAAGAAGAAATAGCGAAGACAGCATTCAATATCAGATATAGTCATTATGAATTTGTGATGATGTCATTCAGACTTACAAATGCCCCTGCTGTGTTTATGGACCTCATGAATAAGATCTTTAAGTCATTTTTAGATCTATTTGTGACTGTGTAAATTGATGACATTCTGGTATACTCCCATGATAAAGCACTTCATGCAAATCGCAATAATATAATATCTGCCCCCAAGTTTTTATCACCTACAGTCAATTCCACATGACACTTCCTGTTGGTTTCCAATTGATTTCCCTTTGGCATTAAAACTGATAAGGGTTTGAGCATAACTGAAGAGGACAAGTCGACAAATTTAATAAATTCTTCTGAAATGAAAGAGTGTGACGCTCCCGTATCTAACAATACCTTAACATGCTTGTTACACATAGAGATTGTTCTTAATACCATGCAAAATAACATAAAGCTTATCTTACTCATATATCATAAATGAATTTATTGACATTTAAATAAAGTCCATACCTGTAATAACATCAGGAGAGTCCTGATTTCTTGTTGGGATAGACCATAAACTCTTGGCTGAACAGGTTGACGAGTTTAGCCCTGAGATGTAGTTGATACAGTTGACTCCACATCCTTGGTCTGCCAACCATCCTCTGAGGAGCACTACTTGTCCTGGCCTCTAAGGCAGACTTTTGTCCCAAAATAGGATAAGATTGTGCCATGTGTCCTGGTTGATGGGACCAGTAACAGGTATTAGTGCCAGAGAGGCACTCTCCTTTATGTGCCCTCCCACACTTATTACACATAACAAAAGAAGTGCTGCTCTCTGAAATGTTGGGTCTAGGTTTCTTCCAAGTGGACCTTCCAGACTGAAATGATTGAGTAGACTTTGACATGTCTTCATTCTTCCTTTATTGAAAGACTCTCCTCCTCTGAGTATTTTGCAAGTCCATCACAATCATTTGAGCCCTCTCAACCAAGGTAGAATAATCGTCAATGCCAAAATATATCAATGACTGTCTAATGATATCATTTAAGCTACATAGAAAGCGATGATACTTTTCTGCTGCATTGGGGATTAAATGAGAGTCAAATCTAGAAAGCATTGTGAACTCAGCCTCATACTGCATAATCGTTCTATCACCTTGTACCAGTTTTATGAATTTGTCTTACATCAATCTTTTAGCTGACATCGATACATACCAGTCTCTAAATAATTTCACAAACTCTTCCTAAGAGACTTGACTGCTCGGTCGTCCTCCAAAGGTCTCTTGCAATTGGCTTCACCACTACCTATCTGCTTCACCATTAAAAGCATAGGCAGCTAAAGTAACCCTTCTATCTTCAGGATATGACATACCTTCCAAAATTTTCTCAATCCTCATCAACCCGTCTTCCATCTCTGTGAGTCCACCACCTATGAACGATAGAGGCTTGATGTCTTGGAATAACTTCAAGTATTTGTTCATTTGAGTGCTTCCACTACCACCAACTTGGTCTAAATGTTCTTAATCATTTGGGTCATTGCTGTCATCATCTGTGTAAAAGATTCTATAATAACATCAATATATTACTCGGAGGATCCGCTACTGCTGTCAGCTCCTTCCTAACATCTCCAGTATTGCCATCAGTGGCATCAATTTCAGGATTCACTGCCCTGAGACAAAATGCAACGAAACAATTTAAGCAGTCTATAGCACATGCATCATATACCTACGCTAACCTATAGAATCATCCTATTGGCTCTTTCATATTAATCAGTATGTTAAAACCCTTTCGGCTCTGATACCACTCTTTGTCACGACCCGGCCCGATAAGCTCGCATAGGCGAGGCGGGAACAGAGGTCGGACAGCAAAAAATTAAAAAACATTAATATTACATAATCAAAATATTTACAAACATATAGAAAGAGCCACTAAAAATATTTCAAGTATAATTTTTTCTTTCTTTTCATTTATCATTCAATATATCAACTTAAACATAGAGGTTCAAAACATAAAATGATATCTATAAATTTTCCCTTACAAGTCATCCTAAATCCTTCTAACTCAAAACATCAAAAACCAAAAAAATAAACCTATCGCCCGTCGTCTTCCTACGACAATACATAAAGGGTGGTCTATCCGTCATTATCATTTATCAGGTTCTTCTAAAAAATGTTTCATAAATTGAGTGAGTCACAATTCAGTAGATAAAATGACATTCAATTAAATTTAGAGTGAAAATGCCTCTAAATGTCCTCTTTCTTTATATAAGCTTGCAATTCTTTCTCATTAAGCATTCATGATTCATTTAATATATCATATACATATAACATAATGACATGATATTATAATAACATAATATTAATCACCCATCGCAAAAGTATCATTTATTTTTACTGATCAGGTACACTTTTAATTAGTCATTCCTTTATCATTTGGTTTTAAAGAACCCTTTTATCATTTGGCTCAAAAAAACCTCTTTATCATTAGCTTAAAAGAGTCACTTTACCAATGATAATCCGCATCAAACATGCACATGCAAACATTTCTTATTTATTCATAAAGAGACTTTAGCATATCATTCATGTGTATAGTATCACGTTCTCAAATGATGTTACATGATTGTATAATTTCATGAGAAAAGAGAGATGATCACATATATATATAATACATATAAAAGACATGCATTACTTATAAAAGAAACATAAACTTTACATTTTCTATTATTAATACATAAAAGATTTGCATTTGCATCATATGTTCAAAAATATTCAAATAAGAACATGCTAGCCACATATGAAAGTACAAGTTGCATATAAAAGAAATAACATTTTACATGAATGTATTTAAAGAACTTTTCAAATTTAAAAGAATTTCATTTTACCTACCTCACCGCGGTGTGACTTGCCGAAAGTCCTAACGAATTCTTCCCTTTACACGATCAATATCTAAAAGAAACATAATATAATTTGTAAATATTACTTGTTCTCACATAAACCTCTCAAATCCTAAACTATGAGTATAAAGAACACACCCATACACTATTCTTATACTTTTCAATTGAACCATTTTCCTAATTCATAATTAATCTCATTCATATTTTCTCTAAATTTGGGATTTCATCATGATCTTAACTTTTTGGGAATCTCATTTATGTCCATTACATAATACATGTTTAAAAAACCTCCCATACACTTAAACATTAATTAAAATACAATAAATTTTTGGATTAACCTAAATTAGAAATTAAGAAAATAGCCTTTTGTGCAAAAGCTCTAATTTTTGCCTCTAAAAACCTTCCTAAGTTCATTTTGGAACTATGATACTTAAAAATTTTCATGATTTTACAAAACCCTAATTCTTGGAACTTGAAATTTCATTATGAAATTAAATTATCTTCCTATAGAAGCTTTCTAATGCCATTAGGAAGCTTTCTTACAAAGTCATTTTGAAAATATACAAAAATTGAAGAAAACCCTAATTTTTGAAATCTACAATTTTTAAGAAATCATCTTATTTTTATGCTTAGAGTCATCCCCTAAACCTTCCCTATCATTTTCTTAAAGAAATTTGAAGTTTCTCTCAAACCTTAGATTTTTCCCTAAAAGAAAACTCTACAAAAGCATGAGAATTCTCTTGAATACAACTCACCTTAACCTTCCTTTAGTCTTCCCTACAATTTCCTCCACGATCGGCCTCCGTAAACCGCCCCTAGGGTCGTTGTTCGCCTCTCCCGTCCACCTTCCCGTCGCTCTCCCTTCCGCTCGGTTTGGCGGCACGAAAAAAATGGGGATCGAATGCATTTCGGTCCCCTAATAAGAGTGGATGGCTCACACTAATTGCACAAAGTCCTAAATGCCCTCACTTATATTATCTCCACTTAAATGTCATTAAGGGTAGTTTTGTCATATATAAATTCTATGAATTTTAACTTTCAAATTATGCAAAATTCAATATGTGTTCTTTATACCGATTTGCTCAGAATTTTGCATATTATTTTATAAAATTTATTGCGTGAAATTCTGACGAATTTGAAATTTTGCCTACATTCGTTGTGGCGCATCGAAATGCGTGTGGCACTGAAGATTGATATTTTTTCGAGTTTTACAGGCAAATTTTTCTTATTTTCATTACACAGACACTCCTGACAATACGGATGTCTACCATAAGCTATTTCTGCCACGCCAGACGCGCTAATATAGTCATTTTTGCAAAAGGATGCAATTCAGATGATTCCGGCTTTTGTTTAACACATTTCAAATGGCATTTTTATGATGTAACATCTTCCGCTTGCCATTTCCATCAAACTTGGATCAAGTCAACCTCTAAGAAATTATCAAAGTCAACACCTTACTTTGATACCATATATTAAAAAGATGTGGCTAGAAATCCTGGGTTGTTTCTTCCTCCAATGGGTATTTTTATACACAAAACAATATAGAAATCAATGAAAAGTATACAATCTTAAAAAAAAACTAATTATAAATTAGTACAACCCAAAAATTGTTTTGACAGACACATATTTCCCCCTGAATGGTCACCAATTCAATTCTCAGGTACTTCTCATTCCTTCTCATATCATAGAAAATAATAATGACCAATTCTCCATGTTTTTTCTAAGAATGTTTAAAAGGGTCACAAATGAATGAAATTTTGCCAGCTGTCAACCACAACCTTGCAAACTTAATATATGTATGAGGAATAGTATGCTTACATCAAAATGTTCTTAAAGTTGCAAAAAAAAAGTGTATTAATTCTATATATATCAACAATTTCAGTACAACTTAAGACGCTAATCATGAAATCTTATCGCACAAATCAACTCCAACAAGATAAGAATAACCAGGAAAATTTACATACGCTAAATATACATTTGAAGAACATCAAGCTAACAATAAAAATAAACAAGGGAATATGCATAAGAAATAGCAATGTTCAGCAAGACTAGAAGTTAAGCACAAAAGACATACTCTGAGATAGCAATGTTTACTGCAGGGTTTCCTGGTTTCTTCAGGATCAGATCCATAGGGCTGTTTCTCACTCTGTCAAGCAAAAGGTGCCAATTAAACCGGCAAACACTTCATCATTCTTGTAAATAACAGTCATTGGAATAACTGACTCACTGCAGTAATAAGATTTTGAGAACAACCATGGAGGCGGCAGTCAAAAATCTGTTGAAAATAATATTACCTAGCAATGAGCAAAATTGCGCAAAAATTTGAATCACAGCACAATCTTCTAAAGAAAGATCAAAATGAATAAAAGAAAGTACCAAGCATCGCCGGCAAAATAGATTGTCAAAGGAATCCAAAGCTGCATTAAGAGTCTTATCTAGATGTGATTTAGACTCGGACTCACTTGAAACTTCAGCCTTTCTAACACTATTTTTATTGTACTTTTCTAAGAGAGCTTCATATCTTTCCTGCACATATAAATGAAATGAACAGATGGGGGGGGGGGGGGGGGGGGGGTGCTCTATCACTATCCTAGAAGATCCCTACTCAATTAAGAATGAGATATCAACCATCTATACATTCACTATTTGACCGTTGAACTTTGATTATGCTACATATTAATCATAAGGATAATTGCATTGGTATTGCTTGATCAAGTGTTAAATATAATGTATTTTCTTAAGTGACAATTCAGTTACCTGGATTTCCTCGGGTAATGCTTCAATGGAGTGACAGAGGATGTGCATGACTTCTTGATTTAGGCCATATTCCTGAATCGCCTTCCTGCAACGATGATAATGTCAAGTTACACATTATATGTTTTAACTAAAAAGTTTAAAAAATAAGATATGGAATAACGGGTGAAAAATCTCCCTCTGCCCTTGTAATCATTATATGCAATTGATACAAATGCAAAAATGCGTAGTAAAGTGAATGCAATATGCATTTAGAGAATGTATAGTAAAATAAATACAAGGAAACTATTTTTCCTTCTGTTCGGGTATGCATTTAGAGAAAGTGCAGTAAAATGAATGCGTGCATTCATATTTCTCGAAGTTGTTTGGCTGCCTGTAAAATAAATGCAAGGAAACAGTTTTTTCTTCTGATGGGATATAAAATTTTAGGGATACTCTACTGATATATAATAATAAACTTACCTCCTAAATAATTTTAATTTTAATTTAATATTGCCAATTTTGCAACTATTGAACAATATCTATCTTCAAAATGCTGGCATCAAGAATAGTTACTTCTAATGCAACACTCTTGTTTACTTGATAAAAAGTAGCTTAGTGGAAACATTTATGAATTTTCAACTCTAATCAAAATCAACTAGGAAAACAAAACTATGACATAGAAACAACTAAATCAAAATCAATGCACATTTTTTGAATTTTTTATAAATATAGACTTTCAAATTTGCATCAGATGATGGTAAATATTTGGATAATTGGGCCATTCAAGAGATAAGAGGGCCATTTAGGGGCTTGAAAATCTATATATGTTCCTCTTTATTATAATAATACAAAAAAATTTCAGAATATCAAAAAAGTGTTGCCTTACTCAGGTTGAAGGATAAAATAAGTTTCACTATATGGTAATTCTCCTGTCAGTTGGATGTTCAAGCACTGCATGCTTGAAATAAAAAAGCAGAGGGAATCACAAAGGCCAACCCCAAACATCAGTTGCTTATTAATCCTGCCCTCTTTTCTCAGCATTTTTTAAGGCAAACTTAAAATGGATTTGTAACTAAAACCATAAGATGCATGAGTCAAACAACCTTAAGAGAAGAACAGTTCAACTGAAATGGAGCATGATATGATAGATGGAGCGTTGAAATGATGCTTGGTTTCCGCAGAAGTGGTTATCACAAAAAATTAGGCTGCATGTGCGATGCAAATTAAGGCTTCATTTGGGACGTCTTTTTTACTGTTTCTTAAAAAATATTTTTAGTACAAAAGTTGAAGTTTTTGTACTTAAAAGCTGCTTTAAGAAGCAGCAAAAAAACTGTCCCAAACGAAGCCTAAAGCTCACCATAGAATCTGGTCTTCTCCTTCAGAGAAGTCATGTTTCTCATCCTCTGGCTCCACAATCTCTTCTTCACTATCACTACATATAAGCGTCTCATTCCCATATGGATCATAATATATCTGCCTCCTTCCAAGAACAGACTGATCCTCTGCCATTCTTTGATTCCTGTGTTGTGTCACCCAAACTTTTAATAGAAAATAGCAAAAAATATAAATATGTGATACAAGATTGGAATACATTTATATCAGGATATTGTGATATGTTTGTGCCAAGATGGGAAAACAACTAACAAGTGTTAGAAGGAAGATGCTTAATAGTTAAGGGCATTAAAAAATAAAAAACTAAAAATACATAAATGCTCAAAAATATTCATTGGTGGTGTTTTCTGTTACTATTAAAATGTCCTATACTCGAGCATTCATTTTGTAAATTTATTCACCCAGTCTGAAACAAAACGTATCACAATATCCAGATTTAATCTTTTTTTTTTCATGATAGAGGACAGTAGAAATGCAATGTTATAATGGAGACCACAAGAAATAAAACACAATTAAAAAAGTTCATTATGAGGAATACAAAGTCTCCCCCAACAATAACAAATTCCAGGGAAAATTAAAAGTAAGTATATCAGCGAGACTACATAAGCGACGCAAAGCTAACCTAGTCAGGAAAATCCAAGTAGTGTAGGCGGGTATCTTCTCCACAAAAGGAAGCTTATTGAGACGAACCACGCTCTTCCCTCCACAATTGCTTCCGAACACAATCGAAGCCGACGCTGAAATCTCCTCCTGGCTACTAGCAATTTCCTTATCTGGCTCACACGCGCTAAGCAGACAATGAGGATTCACCAGCCTAACCGAAAGCAAATTTTCTGACTCCATGGGCTCCCGCACCTCTTGCTTCTCCTTAGCCAATTCGAATATATGGGAAGTGTGAAGCCTCAGGCTCTTCCTATTCTTCAGTATCTTTTCCTATTATTTTCAGAATAAAATCGCACTCAATTTCAGAGGTTTTAGAGAATTGGTCAAAAATGATAAGAGAGGAAGGATTACCCGAACTGCAATCACTCGAGAAGCTTGCACTTGCTTCTTAAGTTGGGAAAGCTTCCATGAGATGCCGGCAACGTATTCCTTGTCCTGCTCTCCCGAGAGAAACAAAAAAAAATGGTCGGAGAGATTGAGAATGGTTTAAAACGGGTATCGTTCATCTGGTATAGAATTATAAAAAGAGATTCAAAATTCGACCTTTGATCGGCTCGAAGAAGAATCGCTGGCTCTAGAGGAGGTAACCATGGCCGCCGCTGGAGGGAAGGGGCCTCCTCAGTCTTCTAAGCGGAGAAATGAATCCGAGTCCTTTTTTACCGAAAGAGGCCTTCTCTTTTTCCCTTGAAAATTTTACATCACGCAATTGCAGGTGTTACGAGGCTAGGCAGCAGTTTAGGTATAAGCAGATCGTTTTTTTTTTTTTTTTTTTTTTTTTTTTTTTTTTTTTTTTTTTTGAGCATAGAGTTGCTAATCAAAATATTAAAAATTGTTCATCCTGTCGAAAAAAAATAAAGGAAGCCATCTAAAAATGTTTGAAAGAAAAGGTAACTGGATTCAGATGATAGAAAACATTTAGATAGTCGAAATTAGAGTGACGGACATAACACATTGTTGCAAAGGGAAAATTATTAGGTGCGGATACGGGACGTTCGGTCATCCACTTAAAATTTGACGCGCATAGTGGATATGTTGGATTTAATTTTACTTTATATATTTAATGTGTCCACTGAACTTTAAGTCAAGCACACCAAAAGCGTAGCCAATGCGCATGTAAAGTGCAGATGAAAGTGTGAAACACAGTGAAAGCGCAGTAAAAAAGAGCAACAAAAGAGCATTTAAAGCGCAACTAAAGCGCGCACTGGTAAAGCGCATATAAAAAACGCAACAAAAGAACTGTCAAAGCTCAATTAAAAAACAACTAAAGTGCAAGTAAAGCACAGCTAAATAGCACAAAAAGCATAACCAAAATGCACTTCACCTGTCAAATTTTAAGCGCATGACATGACGTATCTTTATATCCAGTCTTCGCACCTAATAATTTTTCGTTGTCAAGAGGACCTTCCAACCTACTAGAAGTAGTGCAAAGATGCTTTGAACCAAATATTTTATCATTTTGTTCTTTCCAAAGATATAAATAGATAAAAGGTAGAGATTCTTAGCATCAGAAGTAGGAGAATCCAACTCATGAAAAATATCAAATAATTGGAGCAAATTTGGTCTCATAAGAAACTGAGACAAGTGAGGAATAAGCCTAGGCACAACACACAATCTGTGCTAACACTCAAAAAACAAATGAGAGGTATTTTCTGTTGCTGAAAGACATAAAACTCATTGCTAGTCAGTAACAATATTCATTTTGACAATATTTTTTTTGCAATTTTAAGCCCCTCAAGTGTAACAATTTGAAAATAAAAAGTATTTTAAAATATAAATTTATGAATTTTTGTTTGAACTTGAGCGCTTCGGCGTTGTGCTTATAAGTGTTGCACTGTTAGGATTGAGAGCATAGTGGCACTAAAAACAGTTTTTGCCACTGTTCTACAATAATTCTAGATTTAACATGCGGCACTAGGCCGAAACTCTGAGGTGCTAGGCTACTAACAATATTTTATATATTTGTTTTAATCTAAATATCCATGTCATTCCATCTCCCTCACGCTCATTTCTGCTTAGATTGGCCAAGAAGGAAGGGGAAGAGTGAAAATGAGAGGAAGCTCTCTAGAGCTTTTCAATATGTCACTTATGTTATAAAAAAAGTGTCATATTCATTTTAAGTGACTAAAGTCTTACTCATATTTTTGATGATTTTAATTTCTACTGATTTTATCTCTCCTAAATTTGTCAAAAATACATTATATCTTAATTTCGTAAGTTTTCATAGTGTAATTTTTGATATTTTATATATTTTATCATTTTGATGATTTTATTATATTTTCACTAGTTAAATTTATGTATAAGGATTTCTCTGTGAAATGGGTAGGAAATTGTATACTAAAAAAGAGTTGAAAAGCAATGTATTATGATTTGATATGATGAATTGAAATATATGATATGTTGAAATGATTGATATGAATTATAATGTAATACTGAGATGTGATGTTGTAATATGCTACTAATTTGACTAAAAGAATGTATTTTACTGATATTGCTCTTATAGAAAGTGATATATATATATATATATATTAGCCCCACGAGATACCCTAAAAGATTCACTTATGGGAGTAATAAGTGTTGCAAACTTGATCCAAGCACTGTAATTTTGATGATAACAAACATTATTGTGTCTGCTACTACTTTCTCCTAATTTTTTTATATTTTATTTTGTTTTTATGTGTACTAATGTTCAGGAAATCACTCAACTGTTTACTAGCAATTTTGATTAGCTCAATACTAGGTAGACTAGGGTTATAGTCAGTCTTCATTTTATTTTATATTTTTTCCTTTGTTTGAGTCATATCATGTAATTGGGTGGATATCTTTGCTGAGTAACCTTACACACACAGGAGGAGAGAGAAAATGTTTTTGAAATATTTTTTTAAGTATATCGTACCGTATGATTTTTTGCTTCATACTATACGACCTTATTTCGTACTGTACGATTTTTAATTCGTATTGTTCGATCTGTTGTGCTCTATCAAAATCCTAACCGCTAAAAGTTAAGAAAGATATTGATTCTGTGCTAATCGTATAGTACGCCCTAGTTAAAATATTTCTTAATTAATCTCTCAATATCAGGCAATCAAATCATGGACAATTACTGTGATCGATCGTACTGTATGATATAGTTCATACTATACGATTACCCGTATACAAAATATATTTTCCTAGAGATCGTACCAAACGAAATTCATAATTTGTGTATCGATCGTACTGTATGATGTGTACAGTCATTGCGATCGATAGTGTACAAAGTTGACCATCCTAAGGATTGTCCCAAACAAACAGAAGGAATTTCTGCAGTTTGTATTATAGCGATGTTTGATTGTACTGTACAAAATGTTATAAAAGTTGAACATTTTGTCTGAACGATCTTGCTGGACGAGTCTGAATTACATTGATCGTATTGTACGATAAGTTTATCGTACTGTACGAATAGAAGATGGATCTCTTGAAAATTAGAGTTTCTTGAAGCTCACTACTTAAGGTTTTTTAATACTCCTATTTGAAAATCTTTGGTTAGACTTTAGGAGAGAGCCCTGACGGAGAAAAGAATGAGAGCTTTATGAGTGAAAAGAGGGAGATTTTATGAGGGAGAAGTTGTGAGGAGATTCACAAGGTTGCTCCAAGTAAGAATCTTGCCTAATATCTACAAACATATACCTGGATTCTCTCTTTTAAAAGGGAGAAGTTTGGTTTGGCTTCTTTTTTTTCATTTTCTGTTTAGAAACGGAGAAATTTTTTTTTAGTCATTGTTTGGATTTGACGCTTCTATAGAAATGCTTTTTAAGGAACTTTATTTTTATATTGTTTTGAGAAGTTTTTTTATATTTGCTTCTCCGTTAGAAAACTCTATTTCCTAAATCATTATTTCTAAAACTATCTTTTACAAAAAGAAAGGAATAACCAAACAGACTCTAAATAAATGACACACATTATTATAAGTCACTTGTCATTCGCTTAAAGGATGGAACTAAAACATTCTTATCAAGTTTAGTTGATAAATATTTTTTAATATTATTATATTGATTAATAGTATTTTTTTCGTTAACACTAATGCTAGTTTTATTATTATTACTATTATCCATTGTACGAAAGGGCCCAAATTCAACTCATCTTATCGGATTAGAAATTTAGAAGGATCTGATAAGAACATAGCATAATTTGGAAGCTTTAGCTGAATGACCAATAATATTCAAGTCACTGATGCAACTATAGAACTGTTCGGCAGTCTCGGTTATGACCCTAACTATGGCACCAGGGCAGTGAAACGTGTGATCCAGGAGAATGTGGAGAATGAATTGGCTAAAGGTATCCTTAAAGGGGACTTCAAGGATGAAGAAACCATAGAAGTGGATACAGAGCTCACTGCCTTCTCCAATGGCCAACTTCCCCAGCAAAAGTTGGTTTTTCGGAGGCTGGAACCAGGTTCCTCAAATAAACCATCGACTGAGAATCAAAAGGCTTTCTTGCCAAGCAGATAATTAAATTTTAGTGAGCTTTCTTGTTGATTACATGTACTGTTAAGAGTAAATCTATGCAAGTATAGTTGTATTCTATTTAGTTGTTTATATCTTCTAAGTTTCTTGTTTTCTAAAATCAATGGGTTCATTTTTTAATTGATAGTAAATATACTAATTGATGGATCGTGAATCCAATGAAAGATTATATAATATATACATGCCACTTATAAATATTTCTTGTTCTCTGCAATCAAGAACTATGTACAATTTTTAATTTGAAGTCATATAACTTTTTGCATGGACTATTAAAGGGAGAAATTACATGAATAAGACAAGTGGATAGATATAATGCATATCAATTAGAAAATGGAGGGAGTAAGATTCATACTAATATGCCTATGAGTTTATTACAAATTAGTTGGAAAGACTTTGAACGATGAGGATGATGGTGGTTGATAGCATTTATTTTTCATTTTTTCATGGAGATGGATGGATATATGGCATAAAACAAATATAATAACTATGCCTTTCAAAAAAGTGGGGGCAAGGATGAGTGAGAGAGATGGTCATGAGGAGATTGCAGCTAATTCAAATGACAAAAATATTTTTCCTTAAAAGTTTATTTCATAAAAATTAAAATAAAGTTTTTATGAGATCAATTTTGTCATATTATTTTTTCCCTAAATTATTAAAAAGAATAATTTCTTGAAGGAATTTTTTAAAAAATATCAATTCACACCCCCCCCCCCCATTCTATGCACTTCTAGTTCAAGTATGTCGAACAACCCACATTTAAACTTTCAATTACCATCAAAGCGGGTCTCAAATTAGTGATTTAAAAATCTTTGAGAAAAATATCCATAGCACACCTAGGGAATAAAAATATTGTGGAGGGTTATTCAGTAACCCATTCATCATTGTTTGATAACATTCTCTTCGATTTTTTGGAATGTTTGTATGTCAACATGTCTACAATTAATCAACAATCACATCCGGCATATGATACAATAAGGATATTATGAACTCTCTAGATTTGTGAGGTGTTAAAATTTAATAACTTTTTAATGAATGGAGTAATGAGGATAGAGACTATGTACAATTGAATGCAATATAGTTAAACTATTTTTTCTATGCACTTAAATCAGAAGACGATATTGATTTGTACTTGTACTACTTGAAAGAAAAATCCGAGATTGATTATGCATTATTACGAGGGTAAAAATGAGGTTAAGATATCTCATTTAAACTT